CAGAGTATCCGCCTTGGCAACCAAATATCAACTTAATTTAAATTAGGAAAAATTCTGTCTTACCACAAAATGGTTAACGTAAATAAAGTTTAATCAAAAATTTGTGTAATCACAATTTAACTGGTTTTAATGTATTAAAATTGATTACAACACGTTTTCTTCTTATCATCAAGAGAACTCAACGATAACTAATTGCCAAGAGAAAACTGTGAACCAAATTTGCAGACAAAGGTAATGAAATATGATTTGCAAAGCATATCACTACACACTATATGGGACGTTCCATGTCAACCCGGCCACCCCACTTTTTTATTTTTTTTGTATGTGGACAGTACCACATTGATTGCAAAGCCACTTGCTTCCAATAGTTTACCTCATACCTATTTTGTCAATGTTACCACTCTTTCGCCGTATAATCGCGTTGAAAAGAAAACACAAAATCATTTTTATCCTGCGAACGGAAGAAACAATTACCATGGTTCAAAAGCAGAAAAATCTGTCTTTCCATAGCCGATTACGAGAAAAAAAATAGATTTTATTGGACCGTAGATGACCAAGCGATAGCGTTTTTAAAGTCTAAAAGTAGGATTTCGTCCAAAGGGCCAGTCTGCAAAAATACCATTATATTTTCCTCAGAAAGCCCCATATTTAACGGATTTTATGCCAATGATTTTAAAGTGGGATCTCTCTCGAGGAATTAGCTATGAATTCTTTTCATTGATTTGTTAATTTTTTCCAAAGCTTTTTCTGACAGTTAACGACTACAAAAACGTACAAAAGAATTCATAGCTAATTCCTCAAGAGAGATCCCACTTTGAAATCAGTGGCATAAAATCCGTTAAATATGGTGGTTTCTGATAAAAATATAATGGTATTTTTGCAGACTGGCCCTTTGGACGAAATCCTACTTTTAGACTTTAAAAACGCTATCGCTTGGTCATCTACGGTCCAATAAAATCTATTTTTTTTCTCGTAATCGGCTATGGAAAGACAGATTTTTCTGCTTTTGAACCATGGTAATTGTTTCTTCCGTTCGCAGGATAAAAATGATTTTGTGTTTTCTTTTCAACGCGATTATACGGCGAAAGAGTGGTAACATTGACAAAATAGGTATGAGGTAAACTATTGGAAGCAAGTGGCTTTGCAATCAATGTGGTACTGTCCACATACAAAAAAAATAAAAAAGTGGGGTGGCCGGGTTGACATGGAACGTCCCATATATCTCTTAACTTCCTCTCTTAGCTTTTGTTTTTATTAGTTTTTGTAAAACAAATTTGTGTTGTGAATAAAAATCTGCATTACAAAAAAAGGAGTAAAAAATAGGATGGTTTGGGTGGGATTTGAACCCATACAACGAAAAACCCCCTCAACCATTCTGCATACATTACTCATACATGGATTTACACTCTAGTCCACCAAGCTCGTTAAAAATTGGCAGATTAAAGTATAGGAGAAGCTGATTTAATCATCTTGCCAAAATTAAAGTTAAGAGAAAATCAAAATGCATATATTCTCTTACGGGTATCTAACAAAAACAACCAAAACCGTTAATTTAATTTTTCACCCATCTCTCTCTTTATTCTATGTGCAGCTGCACTCCACCAAAGAATTAAAAAAGACGAACAGAAAAAAAAAATATTGTAAAATGAAGTATAGGCCCATGTATAACGTTATAATAATTTTGACGCTTTTGGACCACAAAAAACATGGTCCACCATGTAATCCTTTTTTTCCAATAAGATATCATTTGGCTGACAAAGCCAACCCCCACCTTCCCTTCTCAAGCATTAATTGATTACGTAATATTTGGATGGCACATAAAAACAGTTTTACAAAGTAAAAAAAAAAATAATGCCAACATCAATTTTTGAAAGAACTGATGTGGGCTTGAACCCACGACCAACAGGCTGCGTTGCACATACGTGCAACACTAACCACCTGAGCTACACTATCACTTAGATGACTTACGGCAAAGAGTCAATTAATGGGACAAAAAAAAGTATGCAAAAGAAAAAGATTAAATGCTTCCTAAAATGTTGGTGTTGTTATTGTTCCCTTGCACTATGCTAAAGATGAGAAAGAAAAGAATAAAAAGACAAAAATAATTCACTTTTTACATTTTATTTTTTCAAAAAATTAACAATTTTAATTAAATTGAAGGTCTACGACCTGGCTGAAGGCACAGATTCTTAAATCTCTTTTCCATAAGAGATACGTTTTCCTGAGTTTTCTCCAGGTCTGCTACCTTCTTCTTCATTGTTTTTAGTTCGTGCTGCAACCTCTTGCACGTTTGCGTCAACGTTTTTATGGATTTATTTTGTGTTTTCAACTGCTGGTTAATGCTAACAAAGTTTTGTTGTCGCTTTTTTCCCATATAATTTTTAGATCCTTGCTCATCTATTGATTTCCCCTGAACACATTGCGCATGTTGCGGTACATGTTGCGCAACGTGATGCGGGAAATGCTGCGTGAAGTGCTGTGGGACGGGGACGGGTTGCGGGACGTGTTGGCACACAACTGGAGGCGGAACTGCAGCTTGATACGGATAGGAATAGCTAGCTGGAGCTGCCGTGTAATTGGGTTGCCATGCAACCCACTGCCCAGCACCATTTCCATGGGGATTCATTTTGAAACTGACAGAATTGCTGCCTAAAAACATATATAAGTCCAAATTTGCCGAATTACGGATGTATGTATGTGTGCGTATTCCATCAGTTTACTCCCTCTCTTTGAACTTAACCTTTTTGTACCGAAGATTTTAAATATGGTAGGATCTTTTTCTATAATTATATTAATTTTCAATTTTTTTTTTTAAATACCGATCGCTTCCTTTTTATTTTGCCACATCTTTTGTGTTGCAGTTAAGGGCGGTACATTATATTGAAGGACAAAAACAAAAAAAATGTTTTTAAAAAACAATATAAAATTAAGATTAGTCATTGTTTTTATTTATATTAGAACTCTTTATTTTTAATTATAATAACAAAAATTACACAGTGAAATTTAAGTATTTATTTATCTTTATTTTTCTAATTCTGTTTCGACTTCCAAAGTGAAGGTTGTGTTTTTTTCGCGCTCCGAATTTTTATTTGTTTTCGTGTTTACCTTTAGACGGTTTTAATTAAAACTTAAATATTCGGTCCCTAATTTGATTTATCATATTACTTCTTATATTTCGCGAGTGAATTTACTCTATTCTGTGCACAATCTCATTAAAACAATTTCCAATTTTAATATTGTGTTCTGTGTTTTTTGTTTTTGTGATTTCTTTTGCCTTTCCTTTGTGCGGTGTCCGTAAAAGCTACAGTGCAGTTTGTGTTGTTGTTTTCTGCATTCGCATTAACTGCATTACGCTCCCGCTCTCCCGCATTCTCGCATTCTCTCTCAACTTTTCCCTCTTTCGAAATTTAAAGCGTGCGGAGTCGGTGCTCTTGCGGTACTTTTAACTGCTCGTTCGCAAATTTCGGTCCCTACATTTCTGTTTGGTACAGTGGGCAAAATATTTACAATTATGGATACTTTTGTCTGCTCTATTAATAATTGCCATCAATTAATCAGAGCTGAGTCAAAACTGACCTGTTGGCTGTGTGAAAAAATGGCTCATACCAAGTGTGCCGGCTATACTGGCCGAACCAGTGATGACCTGGCTAGGGGTCACAATTTACTTTATTGTTGTGATCCTTGTCTTCTAGTAGCGCAAGAGATGAGATCTTTTATGCGCCAAACCAAAGGCGGCTTAAAGAGTTTGTTCAATAGTTTTGGTGTTGCTAGAGATAGTTTTCGCCGAGCGGATGATTTACTCTCAGCGCTGGACTCTCAATTTAATAGCCTTAAGCTAATTGACGAGTCTCCAAAGCGCAAAAAGGCCACTGGTGGCAGGCAGCCTAAGAAAAACACCCCGCAACCCCCGGAAAGTAATAAACAGAGCTCCACGACGAATCAGCTGTCGACCGTAGCAAATCCCCAAATGTTGCTACGATCAGCTGCTAAAAAAGATTTGGATCAATTGGAATCCGTATCATCCGTAGTAGACCCCCCTGTTGCCCCGCCCATTACTAATAACTTGTCACCTCCAGGGAATGTTGAGTCTGGTATACCGGCACAAGTTGGCGCTGCAGAAACTCAATCCGCAGTACCAAAACCTCTTTCAGTGGTTCAACCCAAAAAACAAATATTTATTTCTCGTCTTTCGCCTGACCAAACGGCATCCGAGGTGTTGGCCTATATACAGCAGAAAACAAATGCCAAAAACATTAAAGTGGAAAAGTTTAATTTCACTTATGCGAGGGACACCTCATCTTTTAAGATCTTTCTTCCGAACGATCTCTTTTCAACCATTTGCTCAGAAGCTTTCTGGCCAGATCTTATGGTGGTAAAGGAGTTCGAAACTAGGAATACAAATAAAAGAAAAAGACCCGTGCAGACTAGACTCCCCAATCAAGGCCAGAGTAGTGCGGCATCTTCATCTTCATCTTGTACCCTATCTTCGTCTTCAAAAAACTAAAAACTAGCTTAATTCTTTCCTATCAGAATACGAGAGGCTAGCGCAGTAAGCTATATAAATTGTATTCGGATAGTCTTTCTTTTGCTTCCCATATTATTGTATTTACAGAGACCTGGCTAAAAGAGGAGATCTTAAACTCCGAAATTTTTCCTGGTAAGTACACCACCTATAGGCATGACCATCCAGACGAGGCGGTGGTGTTTTAATTGCCGTGAACTCAACTCTCACGTCAGAAGTGGTCACTGGTCAGAAATAAGACGAGTTGAGTTGCGTGTGTGTGTGGACTGTAATAAATTTTATTCTTGCCAGTTGCGAAGCCTATTCGATACTGAATTGAATTTCGCAATACGACGCCGTATTAGCGGCGTTGCCAGAAACTCAAAGAGAGATTTTTTTTGTATGTATACATGTTTTCTTGTACATAGATTAAAGTATATAAAGGAATGGAGATGGCATTATGCGCCTATATATTAGAGATGATTAAAGGTGCAAGCGTTCACGAACATCCCGGCCCGCCCTGAAACACCTTTTCTGAATGGGGCAATACAGCAACTTTCGTGATCGGTCTGGTCATCTCTCCTGCCTGGGTCTTCAGTTTGACTGCTCGAACGAGGTCGTCCTTTCCTGGATAGGTTTCCATAACCCGTGCGATGTGCCAGGATGCCGGTGGTGAATTGGACTCTTTTACGAGCACAACGTTACCGATGGAGATGTTGGGTGTTGAGGTAGTCCATTTTGGACGTTGCTGCAAAGTAGTCAGATACTCCTGATGCCATTTTTTCCAGAATCCTTGAAGCATAGACTGGATGCTTTGCCAATATCCTAATCGGCCCACTGGGATGTGGCTCAAATCGGGATCTGGCACTGTGGTCAAAGGTCGCCCGATCAAGAAGTGAGCGGGTGATAGGTAGTTGGTTTCCGTATCCGGTGTGTGACACAAGGGGCGTGAATTTATCACTGCGCTTATTTGAACAAGTAGTGTGCGCATCTGTTCAAAGGTGAGCGTTGAGTTTCCGGTGATTCTGCGCAGATGTAGCTTGACACAACGAACTGCCGACGCCCATTTCCCTCCCCAGTGAGGGGCTCTCGGGGGAATAAGTACCCATTGGATACCATCATCCGCTAGTGTGCTAGAAACGGTGTCCTTGTGTGTTTGTGAAGAAAGCAATTCTTGCATCTCGTCGAGGGATCGCTTAGCTCCAATAAAGTTTGTGCCATTGTCACTGTAGATCTTACTGCACTTGCCACGTAAGGATATGAAGCGCCGCAAGGCAGCCAAGAAAGTTTCTGTGGTCAGGTCTGTTGCAAGTTCCAGGTGGATGGCCGAGGTGACCATGCACACAAATAGGCATATGTAACCCTTGCTGATACGTGGCTTCCGAACCTTTGCATCCTTCAGAAGGATTGGACCTGCATAGTCGCAACCAGTATGTATAAATGGAAGCGCTTGAGTAATGCGTACGCTGGGTAAATTAGCCATTTGTTGCTGAGATGTGTGGGAGCGTTGACGAAAGCAAGCTAAACAGTCGTGTGTTATCTTCCGAATTAGATTCCGTGCTCCAAATATCCAGAATTTTTGCCGAACAATAACAAAAAGTGAGGAAACTCCAGGGTGGTGGTTCACTCGGTGCTCATGTTCCAGAATTAGCTTTGATATGCGATGTGTTTTCGGTAGCAAAACTGGGTGTTTTGCATCCCTTGACAACTGCGAGTGATGCAGTCGTTCGCCTACCCTTAGCAAATCGTTTTCGTCGATTATGGGTGCCAGTTTGACCAGCTGTGATCGGTTCTTGAGGGGTTTTTTACCGAGGAGTAGTTGGTAATCGTCTTTGAAACACCCTTGTGCGTGCTTTATGCAAAGAATCCTTGCCGCTTTGATCTCGTCAAATGAGAGTGCTCCGGATACCTTTTCGCGAGATGGATTTCGAGTACGTTGAATAAACCGCATCACGTAGCCGACAATGTGTACGAGCTTGATCCAAGAAGAGACTCGTTCGATTAGTTCATCAAGTAGATGAATCTGGGTTGCTTCTGTCAATGTAGCCAAACAGTTGGATTTGACTTCTCCTTGAATGCGTTTGTCTGTAAGAGATAAACCGAACCGTGAATCATTTAACTTTACCAGGTACTGATCCTTGTCCCGTAGCCATTGAGGCCCATTCCACCACAAATGGAAGTCGATGAGATCAGCAGCCATCAATCCCCTGGACGCACAGTCAGCTGGGTTTGTTTTGGAATCGACGTGACGCCAAGCGCTCCTTGGAATGGTGTCAAGGATTTCCGAGGTTCTGTTTCCAACAAATGTCTTGAGTTGGGCTGGCGCATACGATAGCCAGGAGAGCACTATTGATGAGTCGGACCAGCCAAAAACAGTTATGTTCTTGTGGCGTAATCCAGATGTGATTGAGCGAATCAGTTGGCTGAGGAGAAGTGCTGCGCAAAGTTCCAGACGTGGCAAGGATTGTTGTTTCAGTGGAGCCACCCTTGTTTTCGCAGCCACAATGGACACCGAGATGGATCCATCGTCATTTGTAACTCTGCTGTACACCACAGCAGCATACGCCTTGGTTGAAGCATCCGAAAATCCGTGGAGTTCGATGTTGTCCGGGTCGTTGTGAACAAATCGTGGTAGTCGGAATTTTTGAAGAGTGTCCAGATCTGCTCTCCACTTCAGCCAGTTGTCCGCCAGTTTAGTTGGGAGTGGGTCATCCCAATCCAAATTCAAGAGCCAGAGCTTTTGGAAAAGGATTTTGAATTGAATGACAATGGGTGCCAAGAGTCCGAGAGGATCAAATATCCTCGAGACGTCGGACAAGACTTGTCTCTTTGTGCAATCAGGATTTGCAGCAAGACCGACGTTGTACGTTAGAACGTCGTTTCCAGGATGCCAGTACAGTCCGAGAACCTTCACTGGTGAAATTTGTGCAGATTGTGTGTCGCTATTATCCGTTTGTATACATGGCGTATTCGATACCCATTTTCCGAGTTCAAGGTTGGCGCGAGACATCAGCTCAACCAGCTCGTTTCGGTTTCGAAGTAGCTCATCCTCACTGTTTGACCCAGTAAGAACATCATCGACATAAAAATCCTCCAGCAGGATTTTCGACGCATTTGGGTATTCCTCTTGATGATCGATAGCAAGTTGTTCCAGCACTCGCACCGCCAGGAATGGCGCGCACGAAGTTCCGTAGGTTACCGTGCACAATTGGAAATGCTTGATGGGATCGGATGGATCTTCTCTCCAAACGATTTTCTGGAAGTTTCTGTGCTTTTCGTTGACCCATATCTGGCGGAACATTTTTACGATGTCCGCTGAGAATGCAAATTTGTACATTCGAAAACGAAGGCACACAGCGAATAGATCGCGCTGGATACTGGGCCCTGTAAACAGGGTGTCATTTAAAGCCTTACCATGTGCCCCAGATTTGTGTACTCCCTCATAAAGTGTACGTACTGTGTACGCAGCTGCTCGTTCTGTTGCAGCCGCCGCTCAGCCGATTTAAAGCGTTTGAGCGCTCCTTGTAGAGTTCCTCCGAATTCGGGGTTTTCAGTGTTGAATGGAAGTTCCACGATATGCTTTCCGTTTACATCGCGACTGTGAGTGGCGAGAAAATGCTTCTCCACTTGATCATCCTCCGGTTCCAATTTTGCGCTGCTTTGAACGTTTTCTAGTTCCCAAAACTTCTGAAGCGTGGCACCTATGTCCACTGTTGTAGTCAGCGCACAAGCGTTGCTTGGACTCGATGTGGTGAGTGAAGTTATTACTCATCCGAACACCGAAGAAATGGCGATAAGATTACCCTTGTTGTCGAACATCTTTCGTCCTGTAAACACTGACCATACGTGTTCGCTGCCCAATAGAATGTCAACAGGTGAGTTTGTGTTGAATTCAGTATCCGCCAACTGCAGATCCTTGAAAACCTTGAGCGCCGATGCATCGATGTTTTGCCTTTCCAGCGAAGAAGTGATCCTGCCTAGCACGTGCGCGTAGACAACCAACTGATCCTCGGAGATACGAGACTTGATATGCAAGGTGCTGCATCCCCTGGTCGTGTCTGCTTTCACCGAAGAGATTCCGGTAACCAAGATGCGTGATGCCGACCGTGTCAATCCGAGTGCTTGGATGCAACGCTCGGATACGTAGGAAAGCTCTGAGCCCGTGTCCAATAAGAGACGGCATGTTACGTGGTCACCTTTTGCGTTTTGAACATAAACCATGGCAGTTGTTAATATGCTTCGCTTAACTTCCGATTCCTGTGCAGATTTTGCAGTGCCCTGTGCACATACAACCGATTGAGTGCCCTCTCCTTGGGCGAAATGACTGAGAGTCACCGATGTGTTGTTGGACGCGCTTGTGTTTCGCTCGTCCTCCCCTGCTATCTGGGCAAGATTCCCAATAGCCTGTGGATTCGCTTGGACATGAAGAAGGGAGTGATGATTTCCCTTGCATTGCCTACATTTGTATGTCGACTTGCTCTTGCTGACCCCATGACCAGGTCGCAAGCAGTTGTAGCACAGTGATTTCTCCTTTACGAAGGATCGCCTCTGCATCCCGGACATATCCAAGAACTGCTGACAGCTGTACAGAGTGTGTTCTGTAGAATTACATTTGGTGCAGCCACTGCCTTCGACCGCAACCATCGATTGTGTGACCCTTTTTGGTTTTTCTGCATGTGTTGTTGTTTTGCCACCAGTAGCAAGCTCCCTTTTACTCAGCTCCAGTTCCTCGCAACGAGAATCGAGAAACTTGAAGAATTCCTCGAGAGTTGGTGAATCCGTGTCCATGCTGCGCTCAATCCACCTGCGCCGCGTGTCAGCGTTAAGTTTCTCCAGGGCCAGATAGATAATCCAGCAATCGCGTCCCATCTGGTTGACCGCATCCAATCCGCGAATAATTTCGTTTGCTCCGTCTGACACCTTTCGTAGAATTGATGCATCTACCTTTGTAGTTGTTGGTAGGCTCATAAACTGCTCCAAAAATGAGTTTACAATGTGCCGTGGATGATTGTACCTCTCCTTAAGACGTTCCCAAGCTGTGTTGTAAGCAGTCTCCGTAATGGCCAAGTGCCGTACCAAGTTGGCAGCCTCATCAACAAGAAGTGTTTTCAAGTGATGGAACTTCTGTGTGTTGGACAAATGTTGCTTGTTATGAATTGTGTTTTCATAGATGTCTTTAAAGGAGGGCCACTCTGTGTAGTTGCCAGAGAACCGCTTGATTTGAATTTTTGGCAATTCGCTCTGATTAGAATTCGCCGCGAATACCGAACTTAAATTCGCCAAAGTGACGTCACCACCAACTTGAACCGGCGTGCTCGAACTAGCCTGATTTGCAGCCAGTCGCTCAAATAGTTGTTGGTTTTGTTGCAGCAAATTGACAATTGCGTCGTTGTTGGAATGCAGACCGTTGCTGCCATTCGTAATGCCTGTAGATGTACTCGGTTGTAGAGCATCACTTCTGTCCTTGAGAATTGCGATCGCCCTTAGGTACTTTTCTTCGTAAATCGCATTATCGATCTCCGGATCGACGTAACCTTCTACTTCCTCGTGGACAGCATTGGCATCGCCGAACTCGTTGAACTCCTTCCAAACACCATGAGAGACAACGTGTGATGTTAGCCTTGAGCCTGGGACGGCTCTTCATAAATGCTTTTAATTGTTCCATAGCAAACAATTATCCTGAGAATCAAAGCACTCCACTCACTGTCCAAGAATCCGTGAACGAAGGACCAACAATATGGTCAGAAATAAGACGAGTTGAGTTGCGTGTGTGTGTGGACTGTATTAAAATTTTTTCTTGCCAGTTGCGAAGCCTATTCGATACTGAATTGAATTTCGCAATACCACGCCGTATTAGCGGCGTTGCCAGAAACTCAAAGAGAGATTTTTTTGTATGTATACATGCTTTCTTGTACATAGATTAAAGTATATAAAGGAATGGAGATGGCATTATGCGCCTATATATTAGAGATGATTAAAGGTGCAAGCGTTCACGAACAGTCACATTTGAAGAATTTTATAATATAGAGTTCATATGTGTGACAGCCTTACCCGGTAGTTTTATATATATCAGCTGCTCGTATATACCGCCTGCATCTGAATTTCCAGACTACTTAAATCATCTTTTTGCCATACAGTCAGTGTCGAACAAACTGACCGATAGAGACCAACTTTTAGTTCTAGGAGATTTTAATATCCCGGGAACATCGTGGTCAACAGATGAACAATCAAATGTTTTACTTCCACTAGCCCAGCATGACTTTATTGAAGGCTTGCTAGATTTGTCATTGTCTCAAATTAACAATATTAAAAATTCACTAGGTCGTTTATTGGACCTATGTTTCGTTTCAAATCCGGACCGCGTATTTCTATCCAAGATAGCACATCTTACTCAACCTGAAGATCCATATCATCCGGCGTTTGAGGTTTCAATCGACACTGGTACTGTGATAGAAGCAAAATCAGAGAAGTCTACTAACCCTGCAGGAAACGGAATCAGTTTTGGACCATTAAAATACTAGTTGGGTCAAGAAGGTTAACTAGTTCAAGTTATGTCCATTTCCTTGTAACGAAGTGGTCCATTTTTCATATGCTTGTCGTCGGAAACAACTAGTCCATTTGCTACTAGTTTTGCACTAGTTACTGTTAACCAATTTAAGGTTACAGCTGTTAAACTACACTGAAAAAAATATTTTCACGAAAAAACTAAAAATTAATCTCTAAACCATCAAGGGATTGAATTTCACTAGTACTTGACGATGCCTAACTTGACGCTCTCCTAATTTAGTATCCAATTAATAGGCGCGGTCCTTAGAGAATTTCTGATAATTATTATGTAATCAAATACAGTAAATGATAATTAAATGGAATTCAAAAAAGTTACTTTTTTTGAGGCAAGTCGCCCTCTCTAGGACTTGAACCCGGGACCTTTGGATTTGTAGACACACTAACTGATTGAGCCATACACGCATCACATTTTGTAATGCCCTAACAAGGTTCATAAATTTTAGTGTGACATAATTCAAAAACAGTGATTTTTCACATATATATTGCCTCGGACAGATTAAACAAAGTTTAAAATAAAACTAAAGCATCACCTAGCAAACAAAAAACAAAAAAAAATGTACAGAGACTGGGGATTGAACCCAGGACCTCGAGTGTTTGATTTGTTTAGTGTTAAATTTCCCAAGACATTTACACTCTAGGCTATATTTTTGGATCATATGTGTTTCATTTGCAACTAGTTAAATTCCAATTGCCTTTTAACTAGACCCTAAAATGTATTTGTTCTACCAGTTAAATGTTTTTAAAGTTTTTTTGTCATAAAGGTACTAGTCCGAGACTTTATATTAGTTATTTAACTAGTTGTTTTTCAGACTAGTTCGCATTTTTCCTGCAGGGAAGCGACTACTTTGTTTTCGCAAGGCCGACTTTTGCATGCTAAACTCTTATTTATCTGCCTTTGATTGGTCCGATCTTTACTCATGTCATAATATGGATGATGCGATAAATATTTTTTATTCAACAGTAAATTCGTTTTTTAAGATCCAATTCTCTCAGGATCCGAAACAGTTCTTCAATTTTGTTAACGCTAAGCGTAAATCCACAAATTGTCCTTCCTCGCTATCTTTTGAAAACATGACAGCAACAACTGATCAGGCAATAGCCGATCTATTTGCTCCGTTTTTTCAAACGACATATTCTCCTTCATCTCACTGTACACGGCCTTATTCTTACACTGTATCCAAGTCGAACTTAATATTTTGTCCCACATTAAACGAAAGCGCCCTATTAATTAATCTCCAAAAAGTCAAGCCCGTCTATTCACCTGGTCCTGATGGAATTCCCGGCTGCGTGCTTAGATATTGCGCAGAAGCGCTTTGCAAACCCCTTCTCAAATTGTTTACCTTGTCTTTAGAAACGTCTCAATTTCCTTCTATGTGGAAAGAATCGTTTGTGATTCCCCTCCACAAGAAAGGTAATAAATTGGAAGCAAACAATTATAGAGGCATATCTAAATTGTCAGCTATCCCGAAGCTTTTTGAAAATATTATTACACCTCATTTGCAGCACCTATGTAGGTCAGTTATATCTCCATGTCAACATGGTTTTATGAAACGTAGATCAACAATTACTAACCTTTTGGAGCTCACTTCATTTGTGATAAACGGATTCAAAAACAATTTTCAAACAGACGTCATCTACACTGACTTTAGTAAAGCATTTGACTCTGTGAACCACCTACTTCTGGTTAGAAAACTCGATTTAATTGGGTTCCCAGTTGATCTTTTGAGATGGATCTCAAATTATTTAAAAGGCAGAACGCAAAGGGTACTTTTCAAAAATTCTCTTTCTTGTACACTCCAGGTTACCTCGGGTGTTCCACAAGGGAGTCACTTGGGGCCGCTACTTTTTACTTTATTCATAAACGACCTTCCATCAGTTATAAGTCACTCTCGATTACTTATGTACGCTGATGATGTGAAATTATGCCTGCAGTACAAGGATACTTTTTGCCAGTCTGATTTACAATCCGATTTAAATAGTTTCCAAACATGGTGCTCCGACAATTCGCTGAATTTAAATGGCTGGTGTAAGGTGATGACTTTTTGTCGTGTTACTCCTCAATATGCGATTTACACGCTGAGTGAGAGCACTCTGGACAGATTGGACCTAGTCAATGATCTTGGAGTTCTTTTGGACCCAAGACTAAAGTTCACTAATCACATTTCATCCATGGTAAATAAAGCTAGGGGTGCGCTTGGCTTTATTAAAAGGTGGTCTAAGGAATTTGATGATCCTTATATTACTAAGACCTTATTCATCTCGCTCGTCCGGCCGATACTTGAGTATGGATCACCCGTCTGGAGTCCCCAATACGGAATTCATATTGACCGTATCGAATCCGTACAAAAGAACTTTTTACTTTTTGCCTTAAGGCGCCTAAACTGGGATGCAAACCGCATTTTACCTTCTTATTCTAGTAGATTACTCCTAATTAACTTACCCTCCCTAACCAACCGTAGAACGATGCTGGGAACTGTCTTCATTTATAACCTTATTCGAGGTGAAATTGATAGCCCCGACTTGGTTGGACGACTTAACTTTTTTGTACCAAGTAGATTAACTAGAAATTACATTCCCTTAATTTTAAACCACTGTAGATCTAACTATGACATGCATGAACCTTTCAGAGTACTATGTTCTGACTATAATAGACTTTATCCTATTATATCAAATTCTGACTCTCTGCCTCTCCTAAAACGATTAATATTAAATTTCCTAGCACAGAATTAGATCCTACTTTTTTTTCCTCGAACTATATTTTTATTTTCTACATCGCGTCTATCATCTCGCGAATCGTGCCGTACGATACACGGCAGCGCCCCTCGGTCGGTTGGGCGGAAAGTGTGGCCGTGGGACTCCGCGCGAAACAAAAAAAAAAAAAAATCCTTTTACTTTCTCTCAATTTCTCTCTCCAGCGAGGAGAAAATCTATTTTAAATCCTATATTCATGTATTCAAGGATGTTTTTTAGGTAGCGAGTTAAACATGTGTTTTTTGTGTACAGAAATCGGGGATAGATACCCGATGTTAAGTGTACACTGAGGAGAAACCCATAGTATGCATGAATTTCCTGATTGAACTATAAAATCAAAGGGAAAACACCTTTGTTGTAGCTACTTGAAGCTGTAGCTGCATCATTCAATATTATCAGGTGGTGGACGATGTAAATCCATTTAGAGCTAGCAGGAAATAATGCCAAGGTCTCAACAACCAATATCATGTCTCTAGGATATCTGTTTTAACCCCACCCAAGTACATGTGTTTGAAAATTGTATCCTACTCTCACCCGCCTATGTGACACACACACACACACATACGCCACTGTAGAGCCGCCATCACCCTTGTTTGACAACCTTGCCTTTCTAGATCTTTTACACCCTCACACACACACAGCTATATATGTATTAAATGTCTATTCTTCAGTGACACAATGGAAGTCAACCAATCGAACCATAGAAATTTATACACATACACATAAACACATTTTGACGTAAGGCAATGCGTTGTTTACTATAAAATGAACCTCTGTAGGGTTTGTGTAGTTAGTAATATTACAAACCTTTGTTCAAAACTATCATGGACGACTCGGCTATAATTGTGGAGTTTGTCGATGAAACGGAGGTCATCGAAGAAAATAGTCCCACTGAAGTCATGCTTCGTGGAGTGTTCTGGCCTGAGAGCACCTCAACTCAGCACACCATCGATGAAAACGACTCGATCATCATCGAGCAGAATACACCCCGGGATGAAATGAACCAGGCTGTATTGGAACCCGAGCTGCCGTTATCCCAGCGCACGGACGAGGATTTAGCCGTAAACCACGTTTTACGTCCACCAAACGAAGGCGAATCCACAATGAACTGGTTTGATGGAATGTGTGGACAACCATTCGACGAGGAAGTATTATATCAAGACACCCAGGAACCGGACCCAAGATTCCCGGACGATGATCATTTGTTCAACGAGGTGAACGAAAATGATAATCCAATGGCTGTACTACTAAATGACAGCTGGAACAATGAACTAAAAAATCTTAATGTATAAATACAAAAGAAATAAAATGAATTTGAAAATTGAAATAATATTATTGTTGCTTATTTATTTGGGCTGGTTTGGAATATTCAGGATGATGATAAAATACTTTTATATAAAAAATAAATAAAATTAATTTTAAATCTTAAAAACATTATTCTTGTTTTTTTTATTTTGGTTTCCTTGTAACATTCTGGGATATGTCTAAATGTCTGGATGAAGTCGGGATTTAAGAGTGAAGTTGTGTATCAACAAAATATGCATAAGCAAATCGTTGCGCAGCTAAAATTTCTTTACTCCAGGACAGAAACAACACACGTAGTTGCTCGATTTCGATTTTTCATAACTGAAGTTGTGTATTTTTAAAGTGTGTACTTTAAAACTGTTGCGGTTAGTGAAGGATTTTTTTATAGGACATAACTCGCAAGTAAACGTTTTCATCCTGTATCTGAAGTATAAAGTGGATGATCTCAAAATAAAATTATAAAGGCTGTGGAAACCTCATTTATTTATATATCAATAAATGTGTGTATATGTTTACATATGCATATATATATATATATATCACTATGGACGGCAGTCCATGTAGCGACGAAGCGCACCAGGAGAGTGTGCGAAGGCGACTACTATTATATCAAATAAAAACACCTCTTAACGAGGTAAAAAACTGGTGACGACCGCACCTTCAACATACAAAAGTTCTGATATCAACATTTGTGACGAAAAATTATTACACTCGTCATTAAATAGACTTTCTAATCTTTTCTCATTCGGCCCGCCCTAGCAAACTATTCCAGCCTTTTTCCCTTTACAGGCATTTTCTATTGCAGCGTGACGAATGAGAAAAGATTAGAAAGTCTATTTAATGACGAGTGTAATAATTTTTCGTCACAAATGTTGATATCAGAACTTTTGTATGTTGAAGGTGCGGTCGTCACCAGTTTTTTACCTCGTTAAGAGGTGTTTTTATTTGATATCAGAAGTTTTTGTTTGTTTACATTTGCTCTCATAGGAGCTAATATATACATTTAAATTTAAATTGGTCAATCATAATTTTTAAACTATTGTATTTTAACAAATTAAGTTAAAAAGGCGTTGAAGTATTTCAAAATACCTTTTAAACGAGGTATAGCACATGTCTGTACCTTTAGTAGTGTAGAACTTACAAACTAACGAAATTTAGCCATTTTTAGCTTTTTTCCCGCTAAAGTAGCGGCTTTTTCCAAAAGTCGTAGAACAAAAGATTCCTATATGGAACTCTTAAGTGCAAATTTACTGATTCCATGACCCTAAAATACAGTTCGGATACCCTCACACAAAATTCAATACTCAGGAAGCTTTAGTTGTTCGAGCTGGCAAAAGTGGCTATTTTCGTATAAAAATAACTTTTAAACGTGACTTTTTACAGTAATGTGTTATATACCAAAATTTAAGGAATCTCAAGGGCTATACAGTTTAAAGTTTTCAAGAAAATCGTTAGAGCCGTTTTTGAGAAAAATAAAAAAAGCTAAAAAAAAAGTTTTAAAAAATTGTCTTTTGTTCATATCTTTTTAATTATTACATTTACACAAATTGCATATAGAAGGCGTTTATAGCATTTAAAAATACCTTTCAAACAAGATGCAGCACAAGTCTGTAGCTTTAGTAGTATAGAAGTTACGGTTTTCCGAATTTTAGCTATTTATAGCTGTTTTCCCGCTAAACTAGCGAGTTTTTCCAAAAGTGGTAGAACAAAAGTTTTTTATATCGATGGGATGAACGTCATATTACATTTTCAAAACTTAAGAAACATGTTTTGGACAAACTGACAAACTGACAAACTGACAAACTGACAAACTGACAAACTGACAAACAGAATTAAATTTTCATTTTGGGAAGAAGAAGGAAATCTTATTTTGGCTATAACTTTTGAACGGAGCGTCGGATTTTGACAAATGACCCCTCATTCGACGGGTATTTTCAAAAGGAATACAACTAAAGCATTGCGAAGGGGAATTTATCCCCACCGGCCCCAACAGCTCCAAATTTCGAAATTTTCATTTTTTCACTTTCACCGCTCTCTCTCCCAAGCCAATTGATTTTCTTAAAGTCTTGGTATGCAATCCTTTAAGTTTTTGCAATACCTTTCGATTGGTGTATTACTCATTTCGATCGGACTATCACAGCAGATTTTCAATTTTGCGGCTATATAATAGTAGTCGCCTTCGCACACTCTCCTGGTGCGCTTCGTCACTACATGGACTGCCGTCCATAGTGATAGCCGCAAATTTGAAAATCTGCTGTGATAGTCCGATCGTAATAAAAAATTATTACATTCGTCATTACATACACTTTCTAAAATTTTCTCATTAGGCACGCTGCAATAAAAAAGCCTGTGAGGAGTGAAGAAGAAAAAAGCCGGAATAGTTTGCTAAGGCGGGCCGAATCAGAAAATTTTAGAAAGTGTATGTAATGACGAATGTAATAATTTTTCGTCACAAATGTTGATATCAGAACTTTTGTATGTTGAAGGTGCGATCGTCACTAGTTAAGAGGTGCTTTTGTTTGATATATATATATATAAAATCTCGTGATAAATAAGGGTTTCCCGAGTATAAAAGGCTATGTGATATTCAATAAATAAATTAGTATACATCAGTATTTATTTAATTTGCACTTCAACATCTATCCCTGTATTAAAAACTAAAATTTTATCTCATTTGCTTCAATCTTAGTTGTAGTATTTGTAGTATTTGGTTTCATGTCTTTTCCTCGCGAACTCGCATTTTTGCCCTAATTGATAAAGGGTCCCACGCGTAACAAGCACGTGCTTGGTATCGTTGGGCCACTTGTTTGTACTGCTCGTAGTGCATCAACGTCCATCATATAGTAATTTCACTGAGAATAACCACCCCATATAAGTTCTAATAGAAAATGGTATGTGTAATTGTGAATATATGCTATACTATACTAAATTTCTTCAATATCATAGGACTTTATATACATCCTTAATGAGATGAAACCTGTGATTGGTTACACTAAAATTGAAAATCTATGTATTGGATTTGAATACAAGATCATTGATTGCAAACTGAAGAAAACATCTTATGGAAATAAAATAGCTCTTTATTTAACAGACAAGGACAACGAACAGATTTGGATATTTTTACCCAAAAGTTATGTAAATAAGTTTTCTACTGTAGTAGGCTGAGTATATGGTCACCTTACGACCGATAAACGACTGTTAAGTTAACATTAAGAATAACATACTCTGTAATCGGGCGAATGTTAATCATTCTTGGTACAAAAGCGGAATAAAGCGGACGCGCTTACAGTGAAAGTGTAATTGTATTTGATATAAAACCGCCCCTCACAAATTCAGAAGTGGGATAAGATCTACGCAATGGACGACATAAACTTTAACGAGTACTCGGTGGTTCAATTAAAAAGATGGCTTTTCGCGTTAGGCATGC